AGTGAGTAGTTTGATTTGTTTTAGTGTGACTCAGAGATAGACCATTGTTTATGAAGAAGAAGAAGAAAACATTAATTACAATAGTTTCAGTTCAGTTGCAGATATAATTGATGTAATAGATATAACAGTGTAAAGTAATATCTATCCCAGGTGAAGAGTTACTTGGAATGAGCGGGTGTGTTGGTTTTGATTATTTACCCAGCTACACATTACGCTGATGCTCAGGATGATTTCTGATTGGTTTAAATGGCTCTTATTACACTGTTTTCTGATCTGTGTGATAATGTTTCCTCCTCATAACAAACAGACCAGACAGAGGTGGGACTTGCAAGTCGTGACTTGGATTTAAGTTAGATTTGAGTCACTATTTTTAGGACCTGAGATTTGACTTAAAATGAAGTGATACTTGGGACTTGACTTGGACTTGAGTTCTGTGACCTGAGAAGACTTCTCCTAAAAAAAAATATATATAAAATACTTTTCTGTTAACAGTTGATAAATGTTGTGCTTTACAGTCTTTCCCTGTTCTCTGTTTGTTACTTTGGATATAACTGAAGTACTGTGATGTGATATCATCAAATGTACTACAGTAATATACTGTACAACGCAGTAAAACAGAGGGAGCTACAAAAAACAACATCCTTCCATTTCAGTGCAGACTACTTGACAAAATAACTGTTCACTGTTGTACTTTTAAATCTTAATTATTTCTATTCTGACCAGAATGATTCACAATAAGATCTTGGCAAAGCAGATGACTTGGACTTGACCTGGATTTATGGGCCAGTGACTCTAGATTTACTTGAGACTTGTAAAACAACAACTTGGTACCTGGAGTTGTTTTGTTTTGTTTCATTCACACATGTTTAACCCTCTATATTTAGGCTGAGTTCTTCTCTTAAATAGGAAACATTCTTTTCCACCTTGTGATGTCATGTGGTAATACAGGAAACGCTCCATTGTGTTTTTAAACTCCATACACCTTCACTAGAATCATTTAGATTATTTCACTGCTGGAACTGCCCATGTCTATTTAACCTGATGACATCACAAGGTGGAACAGAGCATTTAGAGCTTTGGAGATGTAGACAGACTAATAATAAAGAATTATTCAAATGTGTGAATGAAACAAAACACATCTCCAGGTCTGTTTTTGAGGAGGTAACTATATTCAAGAGTCAATTTTGTGCAATATAAAACCTTTAACCTTTATTTATTGACAAGAATTGCAATTGATATTAAAACATTAGATAAGATGAGTATCCAGATTGTAATTTCAGACAGAGGAACATTGGAAAGGTTTATGAGAGAGTTTGTTTTTTGGCAGTAACATTATTATACTGTAAGATACCACTACTGCTGAGGTTACTATGGAGATTTTAATATCACTTTTCTATTTGGATGTTTTGTGTGAGAATGAAGAATATTTATCAAATGTAATGTATAAATCCTGTTGTTCACAGTGATTCACAATTACATGGGTTTTCAGACAACCTCAACTCAAGTCCCAAACTTCCCAGAGTTTGTTGTTGTTGGAATGTTGAATGGACTTCAAGTCAGTTATTATGACAGTAACACCAGGAGAGAGGAGCCCAAACAGGAGTGGATGAACAGAGTGACAGAAGAAGATCCACAGTTCTGGGAGAGGATCACTGAGATGGACATTAATACTGAACATGTGCAAAAAGGAAACATTGAAACTGTGAGAGAGACTGAACCAGACTGAAGGTTTGTCTGATTTTCATTTTTATTTCTCTGTTGTTGTATTAACTGATGCAGATTTTGAGACATCAGGAATAAAGTCAATGAAAAAGAGTAAGACTAGAGTAAGTTTAGTCTTAACTCTGATCTCTGCTGTAAATGTAAAGTAACTGTTGACTTATGGAAGTACTATTTAAGGTGAAACACTGCAGGGGAAGAGGGAAAATCTCACATTTGAAACTTCTTCTTAAGTTATTTACATAAATGTAAGAAAAACGTGTTAGAAGTGTTTTCATCAGCATTTTGTGTGTAAAAATGAGCAACATTTATCAAATTTGAGACACATCTGAACAATGGACATAGCCACGTTTAAACTTCTTGCTTCATTTTGTTCACATATCAGATACAAATATTTACAGAGGAGGATTTGGATACTATTTAGTATTTGAGTAAATTACAGTTAAAATTCAAATTTCACCTTTTTTTAATTAAACTTAAATTTAAATCAAGTTAATCTTTAAATGAGATATGAACAAATCCTGATCCATCTAAATCTTGTAAAGTCAAAGATTAGAACATTTGGTGGGTGTAGGTGCTGCTCTAGAGGGTGATCCTTTTGTCCCTGTGGAAGAAACATGTATTTTCATGTATTATTTGTCCCATATGAATCTATGGATGTTGAATAAATGAAATAAAATATTTTTTGGACAATGTTGTTATTTCCAAGTGAAAGTTTTTATGTTGAGAGCAAAAGGACACTGACGAAAGTGCTCCCAATTATAATTATCTAATGACCATTAAAAATAATCAGGAGAAAAAGAAATAACTTTATAACAATAATCAGATGGTATTTTTTCATATTTGAAATTCCACAATGTGTGTGTAAATGTTTAATTGAGTTCAAAGTCTGTCTATAGTGAAAATGTCAGGGGACTGTAAAATGAAAGACAAAAGTGCAGAAATATTATTTAATCCTCACACTGTAAATTTACTTCATTATTTCAGTTTAATTCTGGATCATTAGAAAATCTAATCATGAAAACAAAACAACAATTAAATTATATTTAAAAAAGTGCTGAATTAACTCTTCATCTCTAATACCAATGCCAAAAAGCAAACTGTCCCCAATTAGAAAAGTGTGAGTAGGTGCAGGACTTGAATGACTTGAATCAGAAATGGTAAAACTACATGGAATAAAATAAAACAATCAACACTCAACATTTTATTTTCATTTTATGTACATCCGAGTTTGTGCAATGAACGTGAATATTCAGTAGATGTCAGTGTTGTACAGAGAGAGAGAAGAAACAAGCAGTAGCCTCTGGAAAACAAATCTAAACTGAGGTGATGCAGGACAATTATCTATCTTGTATTTTTCTTTCTTCTACTTGGCCTGAAGCTACTACTACTACTACTACTACTACTACTACTACTACTACTACTACTTGGGCTGATATTGTAGTTTAAATAGGAAATGTCAGGTAGGCCTTGTAGATCATCTCGAGTCTGGGACAGGTCATGGGATTTGGCGAGACTTGATATAATAGATCAAAAAAACAAAAACAAAAAAACAATATAAGCCTTTATCCTCTGCAGTATTTGAATAAGTTACAGACCTACACAAGGAGATGGCAAATTTTAATAGATGTTGCAGATACAATATTCTGTGGGTCATAATACTGATAATATAAAGCCTATATATTTTTTACTCAGACAAACCTGATCATGATAATTACTATATCAGTTTATGCAGTCAGTATATTTTGGGATCAAGATTTATCATGTGAACATTTTCTTTGCACTAGAGGGAATGTTTTTGGTAATTTTTTTTCACACAGTATTGTACATTTAGAATAGTTTTAGTGGTTTAAATCTGCTCTTGGGTTATTGTATAATCATTTCTGGAGTAATATATCGTGCATCAAAATGACACATAACAGGAATCAATTCAAGACTTCTGTACGTTCTCCAGCAGAGGGCGCGCTTACTCACTTTAGTGCCAGTCCCGCTGAAACCTCGAAGCTACCGAATGTGCTCCCAATTTAATCAAGAATGTTTCGCTCCAAAATGATTCTAGATTCTATTTTATTTACTTTTTAAATACATTTTGGTGAATTTTTTCCTTTCAGTTTATGGCTGTTTTATGGTAATCCACCAACAGTCAACCGTCCTGATTCCTCCATGGCTTCTCGCTCCAGAGTTGTAGAAACTACAACAAAGGTAGGACAAGTCTGTTCATTTGATAGCAATATGATGAGGGCAAAAGTTTCTATTTATTCAGTCATTTGTGACTTAGAAAGAAACAGACAATAGCCGATTATATTTGATTTGAACACATCTACCTTGTATCTGGGGACACAGTAAGATCATGTTTCTAGAATTTAAAGTCAGCATCTCACATATTGTTCCTTTAAACTGTGTGTCCTCAGGTGTCCCAGAGAAGGATGGGTGGTGCAGTGGACTTGTGCAGATCCAGGAGTGGATTTGAAAACCTCAAGGAGAATATTTGGCAAGGTAAGAAATGAAATGAGCTAACCTAAATGCAGTTAGTTGGGTTCAAAGTTGAATTGTTTTCCAGAAGATCAGCAAGATGTCTTTTTTGTCATAGTCGACATGTTGCTGTTTGACGCTGATCAGAGAAGCGTCACTGGATGAACTTTCAATGTGACGCTCTAAAGAGAAAGAGGTTTAAGTGTCTAAATATCTGCTTTGATGTTCATTCCACTCAGAGATCAGCAATCTAACCCACAACCTCCTGACTGAGAGGAGGAGACAGGATAACCACTCACACAGCCACAGTGACACAGGGAGGACATGCTCAGACCGCTCTCTCTTAAATAAGTGACTCAGCAGGAATAAGAGGAGTTTGTGTTCATCCGTGATACAAAAGTGTAAAGTCAGTAAATATTAGCGTCCGTTCAAATCAAATGTAAAATCACAAACAGAAGTAGAACATTTAGAGAATTATAAATAGTGCTTCAGTCACCAGTCACTACTTTACTTTGCTACTCAAATAAACTACAATTAGTATAAGTAGACTAAGATACAACCAAGACTAAACCAGGTCTAAATCAGGAGTTTCTATGTAGGCCTATAAAAACCCAACCCAGGGTTTAACTGCAATGGAATCCTAAACTATAATATTGTTGTCATAAACCTGGCCTATTGAACTCATAAAGTCTATTGTATTGTAGAGTTAATATCCATTTTTGTCAGTGGTGGAACGTAACAAAGTTTAGGTATCTGTGCTTTACTTAAATAGATTATTTTTCTATAAAGTCTGTGTGTGTTTGAAGCTTCCGGACGTTTTCCAGAGGAACTTTCTGTATCTGTGTGAAGAGCTTTGCAGCTGTGTTCACCATGAACATTTGTGCTGTGATCATTCTCATGGGGACACTCGTGAACGGAGCCACGTCAAGTGAGTAGTTTGATTTGTTTTAGCGTCACTCAGAGATAGGCTATTGTTTATTAAAAAAAAAAGAAGATGACATTTATTACAATAGTTTCAGTTCAGTTGTAGATATGACATGTAAAGTAAACTATCCCAGGTGAATAATTAGTTGCAAAGCAAAGGGGCTTTGGTGTTGACTATTTCCCCAGCTATACATGACATCGGTGCTCAGTTTTAATTCTGATTGGTGCAAATTAGTTGTAGATTATCTTAGCATTCTTATAAAAAAAATAAAAGGCAGGAATTTATTGATAAGAATTACAGTTAGTAATAAGCCAAATTGGCTGAGCATCCAGATACAAGAAAAATGGGCACTGGCAACCCATTTGAGTGTTCAATTTGTTTTTTGACTGTAACACTAATGTTATGTTGAGCCTCTATTGCTGAAGTTACTGTGGAGCATTGAGTCCATATTACTTTTCTGTTTGAATCATTTGTGTGAAAATGTGCCGTATTTATATAACTGAGAAATATATAAATGTTGTTTCTTTTAGCAATTCACAGTGCGATGGAATTTCAAATATCTTCAACTCAAGTCCCAAACTTCCCAGAGTTTGTCATTGTTGCACTAGTGAATGGACGTCCAGTCTATTATTATGACAGTAACACCAGGAGAGCGGTGCCCAAACAGGAGTGGATGAACAGAGTGACAGAACAAGACCCACTGTACTGGAAGTGGAACACTCAGCGAGCCATTATTATTGAAGAGCAGCTAAAAGGATACATTGAAGGTGTGAGACAGAGACTCAACCAGACTGAAGGTTTGTCTAATTTTCACCTTTCTCTGCTGTATAATTAATTGATGCAGATTTTGAGACATCAGGAATAAAGTATATCAAAAAGAGAAAGACTAGAATAAGTTTACTCTTAACTCTGATCTCTGCTGTATGTGAAGTAACTGTTGTGGCATATGTATCCAAAAGCTTATCCCACATGCTAAGGCTAAGACATGGGGTAAAACACTGTGGACTGTGGAGTAACTCAGAACAAATGCACATATAGATGGTTAATGCTTGAGATGGTAGGTATTTAAGCGTACAGGCACTTACTTTAAATCTGCTGCAATCCGTAGTCATGCACTGAGTGCTTCTACTTGCCAAACTTTCATTGAAAATACGGTAAATGAAAAGTTATTCGTCATACTCATTCAGCCACTATAATTCAAGGCCACACACTCAGCAGGTGAGCGCACTCATATATAGACCACATCAGATCCACAGCGCCGCTCCCAGACACCACAGTGAAGTGCACTGAACTAAAGTGCGGGCACATCAGTCACACAGGAAAAACTATAGAAAACCCTTGTATGGCTCCTACAGTAACTGTTGAGTTATGTAAGTACTATTTAATGAGAAACGCTGCAGGTAAAGAGGAAAAATCTTAAATTTGAAACTTTTTCTGAAGTTACAATGGACAGAGTCGGGTTTAAATATCTTGCTTCATTTTGCTCACAGATACAAAACATTTACAGGTGGGATTTTGGATACCTTATTTAGTATTTGAGTAAATTCGATATGAATAGAAATTGTTTTGAAATTATTATCTTTTATAATCTTATCCTCAGTAGACTATAAATTAGATATCAACAAATCCTCATCTGTCTAAATCTTACAGTTTGTAGGTGCTACTCTAGAGGGTGATCCTTTTGTCCCTGTGGGAGAAACATGTATTTTCATGTATTATTTGTCCCATAAAAATCTATGAATGCAAGTTGATTAAGTGAAATAATCAAATATCTTTAGGGGCAGATTGGACAATGTTGTTTCCAGGTGAAAGCTTTTATGTTTAGATAGCAAAATAAAAAATTAAAAAAAACACAGATTTCCTCCCTTTTATAGTAACTCAGATTCAGAAAACTTTATTGATCCCATAAATTCAATTCAATTCATTTGCAGCATTCTCAGAGCTTTTCTCACTTCTCACACACAAACACACACAGTGGCCAGTCCTTTACAGACCACAAGTGGAACTCAATGACAGTATACATATTACAGTGCAAAACTTTCAGAAAAGTGTACTTTTAACATTAAGCAATTTAATAGCAGAGGCACAAAAGGATTTGAGAATGCCAGTCTTTCGTACCAGAGCATAAAATGACGCCCTGAAGGCATCATGATGAAGTCAGGAGACACTTGGCTTTGCTCAGCACTTGCTCCTCCCACAGAGAATGCAGCTCCCTCAGTTTGACCCCTGTGATTTTTGAGCAGGTTTTAACAATGTTCTGCAGTTTGTTTTTTTTATCCTTTAAGGACAGAGATTGAAAAGTAAGCAGACTTTCAATAAAAGAACAGTCAAAATGGTTGAGAATCGTTTTGTTTACATTAGTTCGGAGTTCATTTTTCTCAACAGGTACATTCTTTGCTGCCCTCATTTGACAATGTGTTCAGTGTTTAGGTCAAATTTCAATTTACTCTCCATCAAAGTGCCCAGATATTTGTAATTATCGACTATTTCGACAACATCACTGTGGATGACACTAACACTGTGGGAAAGTGCATATCTAAAATCAATCACCATGTCCTTGATTTAGCAACGTTCAAATCAAGGTAGTTGTCCTTGCACCACTGGACAAACTGCCCCAGTACAGGGCCATGATTTCCCTCAGATCCTGAAAGTAGTGACACCAGGACCGTGTCATCCGAGAATCTGATTAGGAATCTGTTTTCCTGAGGATCTGCAGCTGTCCATGTACAGAATAAAAAGGGGAGGTGACAGCACAGAACCCTGAAGAGATCCAGTGTTAGAGATGGAGGGAGGAGACAATCGATCATTGACAAAACACCCTGGACCCTGTCAATGAGAAGGTTTCACATCAATAAAAGAAGCTGATCTGGGAGATTAAAATCCGAAGCCAGTCTTTGAATCAGGCCTTGGTGCTGCATTTTGTTAAAAGTAGGGCTGGGCAAAAAAAAAAAAAAAATTTAATCGCGATTAATCGCATGTTATACGCAAAACCAATTAATGAATTAAAAAGTAGAGTATAGCGCTCTTTTATTGGAAATGTAAATGAAAGAGCCACACATTTGTTGTGCAAACAGCATTTCTTTCACAGGGGAATCCTCAGAGTCTTCAAGGTATTCAGGGAAGGCTCAAGAAAAAATATGGAATGGACGTTTGTACTACTAATATATTTATTGAATATTTTTTATGCTGTGAGTAATGAACACTACATTAGTAATAATTTCTAGATCAGTGTTATAAACTTGGACTGATATTTCTTGGGAAACAAAGGGTTAATATAATGGAATGGAAATGGACAAATCACATTTTTTCTTCTAATGGTATCTGGGTAAATCAGTTACTCCAACACTGAACTAAAGACATTTAGTTCAGTGCTTTAGTTAGTGTAGTAGAAAATTAAAGCTCAGAGCGCACGGCTGGTCCGCGGCAGAGCTGGTCCGCGGTCGGGCCCGCGGCTCGCGGAGGCTCAGGCACGTTGCATCTCACGTGGTCAGAAAAAAGTGAAAAACGTGTGAAGAAAAGACGTCAAACTCCCGCTAAAGAAACGCTGGAGGTGGACTTTTTCAAAATAAAAGCCAGTGAGAATCAGACGTTTACAATAAAATAAATAAATAAATAATAAAAACTGCGTTAACGGTGTTAAAATAATTGTCGGCGTTATTGACTTAGCAAAGTTAACACGTTAACGTGCCGGGCCCTAGTTAAAAGCAGAGGAAAAGTCCGCAAATAAAAGTCTCACATGGGCCCCGGTGTTTTCAAGGTGCTTGTAGACAGTGTTAATAAAAAAGTTTTGGATCCTCCACTCTCTTATTAGGCTGTTGTGCAGATTGCCTTGGATCCAGTTTTACTTCAGTAGTGATGTGAGTGCCACCAGCCTGGACTCACTCAACTCCTTTGTTTTGTTTGATTTAGGGAGAGGTATTACTGTCGATGTCTTTCACAGGGTCATCCCGAGTTTGCAGCGAAACATTTTGTATGTGGAGCGCCAACAAAGCAAAATCCCGATCCCTCGCTCAACCTCGGATACGAATTTAAAAAATCGACGTCAAAGCGAAAGGCACCAGCTGTTCGCCAAGAAACAATTTCCACTGCAAAGTGACCAAGATGTGATGTTGCTGTAAAACCACAAGAACAAGGAAGTGCGAGCTCAGCCTGCTTGTCTGCTGCACGTCTTGCTTAACAAACAGAATTTTGCTTTGTTGGCGCTCCACATACAAAATGTTTGCTGCAAACTTGGGATGATTTCTTTGGCAGTCAAAAGTTACCTTTGTGGTCCTTCCTGAGTATCAACACTGCCCATCTCCTTTCACTATTTTTCAATTTTGTTGGGAAGGGAAACAGTTTGAAGGGAGGTTTGCAGTCACACACATTTGATTCCCTTTTGCAGTTATGGAGTTTGCAAACTTCCAAAGCCCATTTCTCGAGCCGTTTTCCGCTGTTAGGATCCAACAACCACAGAATTACAATGTCCGAATCCCATAACTAAAATATGACAATATCAGAACTGGAAACAAAAGTGATATGGTCCAAAAGACAAGAAAAGATCAGCTTTTACAATAGATGCATCCCACTGGGAAAACAAACATGGCAGTTTGATGCTCACTTTTTTGGAGTGCCCTTCCCAGTATGCATTGGACGATGACCGGCAGTTCGAAATTTGGATGCATTAAAAGCACTTGGCAACTCACCATTAGACACACCCTTTACAGTTACAGATTTCCTGTCCTCTTTTTGGTGGCTACTGGAGGCCATGTTCTTAATACCTCGCCAAGGTGCTCTAAAGTCTCCACTGCTGTACTGGTCTTCAACTTTATCCTTTTTGCCATTTTTGTCTGGCCTTTCTGAGATCCCCTTTCGCTTCCCTGGAAATGGCCTTTTCCAATTGGTCCCCAGAGCAACAGATCACTTTCTTATTTATGGTTAATTTAAGATCTTTTGTTATCCACGGTTTGTTATTTGGATAAATAACAACATTTTTGGATGGAACGATGGAGGCAACACAAAAAGTGATATATGACTAACACTTCAGTTTTTTCCTCACGCGGGAGGCGTTTGAACATAGGAATGTACTGCAGCATGAGATACACGCAATTGTGGTCGGAGGATCCCAGAGGAGAAAGCAGCAGAAATTTGTACCCACCACTTACTGTACTATAACACATGTCTAGGGTTGTATTCCCCTGTGTTGTGTTAAAAGTCTCGCCAAGTCCCCTAGAACAAATTTTGGGGCGTCAGGGCAGATTGTGTCAAGCTGATGCGTGACGTCACCAATCAGCTGTGCAGCGACTGCAGCGTCAGCCCAAGGATGCATGGAAACAATGCTGGAACTCTTAAAGCTAATCCGGGGGAGGGCTCCTCCCCAGAGCGCATCTGGTTTGTTTGTCTCATGACTTAAACAGAACACAAGAAATAGTTCGCACAACAGCAACAAGTTGAGTAACCACATTATTGATCAACTACAGAGGTGACACCAATCACAAACATAAACTTTCATAACAAACACCAAACACTCTGCTCGAGGTAGTTACCCCAAATGAACTAGCTAATCTGGTCTGGATAAAAAATCGTATTCACTTAAAAAAATGTAAAATAAAAAATTAAGAATGTTTTTTTTCATGTTTTGAAATGGTCCATAATGTGTCTGTAAATGTTTAAGTTGAGTTCTATAGTCTATAGCCTACGGTGGAAAAGTGCAGAAATATTACTTAATGTCACATGTGCCAGTTTTTCTTTTGATTATTAGAAAATCGAATCATGAAAACAAAACAACAATTATTATTTGTTGTGTGATAAAAAATGAATAAGTCATATAATTTAAGTCTAATGTCCATGATGGAAATGTCAAAGTGCAGCTCTGACAGTGTTTCTGTTTCAGGACTCCATCTTCTACAGGTGATGACTGGTTGTGAATGGGACGATGAGACTGATGAGATCAGTGGATATTATCAGCTTGCATTTGATGGACAAGACTTTATTGCTTTGGACTGGAAGACAGAGACATTTGTCGCTGCTAAATCACAGGCCTTCCCTATTAAACTCCAACTGGAGAAGAATGGAGAAGCTGTTCGACTGAAACATAGAGTGATCATCAGGTGTGTCGAATGGCTGAAGAAGTTGGTGCCAATTGAAGACAGAAGTCCGAAGAGGAAAGGTAAACTCAACAATACAATGACAATATTTTAGACAGTGTTGGTCAGATTTATTTGCAAAAGTATTACTGACTACTGCTCATCTAATTACTATTCTGATTACTTTATTTCAAAAGTAATTTGATTAGTGATTACTTTAAGTTACTTTGAAAAAAAAAAAAGAAAAAGAAAACATACAGCTCAGGAACCAACTTATAAAGAAACGTGAATTCTTCACACTAATGACACCTTCTGTTCTTCATGTTAATGTGAAGTAGAAGCAGTGTGCACACTCTTTGTTAAATCAATACTTTTGTTGTTTTGGTTCACAGCTGATCTGTGTCTGACACCAGAAGATGACCTCTCTGCTCCTGTTTATTGTTTATCTGTTTTATGACCCAGTCCTAATGGACAACGCACATTTTTGTCAGGGGAAAAAGTAACAGAATTACTAGCCCAAGTAACTTTAATCTAATTACTACATTTTCAGTTGTATTGACTTTAGTTAGATTACTGTGTTAAAACAGTAAAATCCTTTCTTGGTACTGACTTATGACCCAGCATTGATTGTAATACACTGACTTAAACATTAAAACAACAAATTAGTTAAAATGATTTTGGTTTTAAATATATTTTTATTCCAATGATAGTAATAGAAATTATGTTTGCATATTTTAAAATGTTCCATAATGTATCTGTAAACATTTAGGTTGACTGTGCTGACTGTCAAATGAAATGCAAAAGAACAAAAATATCTCTTTTTCTAATTTATTTAATTAAATGTATCATCCCTTAGCAAAGGAGAAATTCAATTTGTTAACTGGACAAAAGTTTTTGATCAAATACGTTTCGCAGCTCATCCAAGCTGCTTCTTCAGTTCTGGTCAGATGCTGGTGGACATTGCCTTATATCTGTCTGCAGGGAGGAGCTAACTACACTGAAACTACTCTGAAACTGACCTACTTGTTTACAGTTTCTGTTTGTTAGTTCGGTCTATTGAACTGCACTGAGTGTGAACTGTGCCTGAGTCATATTAGCATTCATTCAGGTGTGAAAGCATCAGCGGCCTCCTTCAGGTATAAGATAAAAAGTGTCCACCAGCTTCTGACCAGAACTTAAAAAGCAGCTTGGATGAGTTGCGAAATGTTTTCGATAAAAAAAACTTGTCTAGTTGACAGAATTGAATTTCTCCTTTGCCATTAATAATGTATAGGATTTGTACCAGTACAGCTTGTACATTTTTGCAATATAAATAAATAAAATATACTCTTAATTCTAATTGAGTACAGAACAACAATTTGGATATCTATCTTGTAGAGAATATTTTACCCATCTTAACTGTGTCTAAAACAAAATAATGTGCTATTTTTTAAATTGTATTACTTTGTTTTTATTGTAAAAAAAAAAAAACAATCAACTGTGCATACCTTTAATCTTTATTAAACATGTATTTCCCAAAGATGTGACTGTACTGAGCTGTGTGATCCTTTCATGTGTTCAGAGCTCCCTCTAGTGTCGTTCCTGCAGAAGTGCTCCTCGTCCCCAGTCACCTGCCACGCCACAGGCTTCTACCCCGACAGAGTGCTGCTGTTCTGGGCTAAAGATGGAGAGGAGCTGGATGAGGATCCTGGAGAGATCCTGCCCAACCACGACGGAACCTTCCAGACCAGTGTGTCCCTGGACCTGTCCTCTGTCCCAGCTGAAGACTGGAAGAGGTACAGCTGTGTGTTCCAGCTCTCTGGAGTCACAGAGGACCTCATCACCAGACTGGACCCAAGCAAGATCCTGAGCAACGGTGAGACTGGGGCTGGAGCTGTTGGAGACCAGGCAAAGGGTTCAACTGTCACATTCATAATAATCAGATTTGAGTGGATTTAGCCACCTCTCCCCCACTCAGGGGAAAGTCCTAATCCTGTCTGCATGTGTTTGTTTCACTCAAAGACACATTACAATATAAAGTGAGTGTGAAGTCTGGAGCTGCTCAAACCACAGCTGCCCTGGGGCAGACACACAGAGGAGTGGCTTCCACTCTACCTCCAATCCTCCACTTACACTAAGAACACATTCATACACGTGACAAGGAGGTGAATATCAGCCCAAAGATGGATTCTTCAGTACATCAGCGAGGTGCTTCCAAACTTTGGTTCTTCCTCAAACATCTGGACCAAATGTGTGTGTGTCATTTGGCTTCTACTATTCAGGCCCTTCTCTTTTGACTGCTGTAGATGTGACTGAACGCTCAGAGCAGAGCATTAGACATCCAAATGTGACTGTTTTTCATCCAAATGCTCAAACTTTGAATCACTGATTGAACTTGACATAATATTTGTTTAAATCTTTCATTTATTTTGTTTTCTTCCCAGAGAGAAAGTTAAGCACCAGCACCATCACTGCTGCTGTGTTGTCAGGTGTTGGTGTGGCTGTTGTTGTTGTCACTGTTGGAATCGTCTTGTACAGACGACATCACAACAACAATGTGATATAAATGGTAAGAACATGTGAAAAGCTTTTGTCACTATTACACCCTCAGTATCCAAACACTTTTACTGAAGTCACTGCACTGTTCATATGTCATCAATCATTTAACAAGTATCTGGAGTCAAAAAGTATGTAACTACTGTTAAAAGTAAAAAAAAAAAAAAAAAACTTGTTCTCAGAGTTACTCAAGTAAACATGTNATGTCAAAGTGCAGCTCTGACAGTGTTTCTGTTTCAGGACTCCATCTTCTACAGAGAATGTCTGGTTGTGAATGGGACGATGAGACTGATGAGATCAGTGGATATTATCAGACTGCGTTTGATGGACAAGACTTTATTGCTTTGGACTGGAAGACAGAGACATGGGTCGCTGCTAAACCACAGGCCTTCCCCACTAAACTGAAATGGGAGAGGATTGGAGCAGCGGCTCGTTATAAAAACGATCTGACCCACGCTTGTGTTGAATGGCTGAAGAAGTTTGTGCGATTTGGAGAGAAAAGTCTGAAGAGGAAAGGTAAACTCTGTTTGACAATATTCTAATCCACTGACTTAAGACCATTACAACAATAAACTGGTTCAGTTTTAAATATATATTTTCTTCTTATAATAGCTATAATCACATCATGTTTTGCATGTTTTAAATGTTCCATAATGTGTCTTTAAACATTTGGGTTGAGTTCTAATTAGGCCTGTCAAGTCTTTAATTGATGAATCCAGGTCCAACTTGAAAAACCTGGAAAAACAGACACAAGACTCAACTCAGCTTCAGACTGAGTTTTTCATCTTCTTCAGCAGCAGCAGGTCAAAAAATAAACATATGAAATCATGAAACTTTTCATTATGAAATGTTTTCATTAGTATTTGAATCTAGTATTTTAATTAATACATTTTTTAAAATGTAACATTTAACAATTAATATTTGAATCTAAAAAATTTTGCTTCAGTTAATTAATCAGTTCATTGAATTGTTATAAATTAATCAGTCAATTTAGTTTTTAACAAAACATTTTCTAAACTAAATCAAATGACTACTTTCTGAATATATTTATTCATTTACTGTTCACTTCAATTTGGACATGGATCCAATAGAATAAATAAATCAACAATATAACTAAGACTTCTCATTGTGTTACAAAATATTCATTTTACTTCATTGTCAGATCATTTTGACACTATCGTGTCCCCAGGGCCTTAACAGTATTTTTAGTCGTTTAAATCGACTTTCCAGGTGGATTTCCTCAGTGGTAACGTCTGTGTGTTTTTCCTTTGTGTTCCTGGCTTTGGTTTGGGCCTCATTAAATAAGTGCAGGACTTATACCTGCGTCTTTGGCCACATCTCCTGCTAGACTAGAAATAAACTGATAAAGGGGGAAGGAGAGGAGAGGTGAATGGGGTTAGGAGTGGACATGAAGACGAGGAGCAGAGGGGCTGGGCTTTTTCACTTGACAAGGCCTCTAGTGAAAATGAGAATGGACTGTCAAATGAAACACAAAAGTACTGAATTATCTCTTCATCTCTACACACTAAGTTTCATTCAACTTATTTATGGATTTAAATCAGGACAGCGAGCACATGGCTTCAGTTGTTTGACACGTTTTAATCAGACATTTTTAACAATATAATCAAATATTCTAATTGAGTATTTCTTTTTTTAGAGGATATATTGCCCACCCCCATGTGTCTCATTGGGGTTCTCACTGGTCCCACTGGTCAAAACTGAAATGGAAATTGCAATTTTGCAAAACATTAAAAAACAGAATAAATGACTAGATAATAATAAAACTAAATCAACTGTGCATACTTTTAGTCTTTATTAAACATGTATTTCCCAAAGATGTGACTGTACTGAGCTGTGTGATCCTTTCATGTGTTCAGAGCTCCCTCTAGTGTCGTTCCTGCAGAAGTGCTCCTCGTCCCCAGTCACCTGCCACGCCACAGGCTTCTACCCCGACAGAGCGCTGCTGTTCTGGGCTAAAGATGGAGAGGAGCTGGATGAGGATCCTGGAGAGATCCTGCCCAACCACGACGGAACCTTCCAGACCAGTGTGTCCCTGGACCTGTCCTCTGTCCCAGCTGAAGACTGGAAGAGGTACAGCTGTGTGTTCCAGTTCTCTGGAGTCACAGAGGACCTCATCACCAGACTGGACTCAAGCAAGACCCAGAGCAACGGTGAGACTGGGGCTGGGAGGAGCAGAGTGGGTCACGTGGACTCCTGGTTAAATCCAGTTTGTATTTAGTTCTTTGTTTGTGGTGTTTTAATGTGTAACTGAAAGTGCATTATGTAATGGTTCTTATGCAGAATTCAAGACCTGCTTGTTTCCATGGAGATGTTCTGCCTTTACCTAGAATAGTCCACAGTATGACATTAGACAGATTTATATTGTATTTATTCAATTACAGGCCTTTTTTACAACTCAAAATACCTTAAGAAAGTGTTTCCCAAACTTTTTTTCTTGGGGACCCATATTTTAAAAGTCACAAACCATCACGACCCAAGTCAACAAACATTATTTATAAATCACAGAATACATTTCTGACCATTATTGAAGAGGATATTTTATTGTTGACTGAGTGATCGTGTCTCTGAATATTTAGTATTACTAAGATTTAAACAATGAAAAACATTGAAGCAGCAATAAAAGGATCCATAAGTCGCCTATTTGGACATTAAATGTAGAAATTTCTTTTTCTTTTCAACATTCAATTAAACCAGCAATATTGAAA